CATACACACACACACACACACACACTTCCACCTGTGATAGATTACAGCTGTCCAAAGGTTGGGCTGAATCGTTAATCAAAGTCATTAAAATCTGACTCGTTAAATTGATTCAAACCCCGCAGACGCCGGCCAGGTCAATAATGATGGATCATTAGCACTGATGACCGCCGCCGCTGACCGGAGAGCTGTTGATTTAGTTCTTCTGCACAGAGATCAATGATCAGAGATCAGAGGATAGGAAGGGTGCGGCTGTCAGGATCAGTGTTGTGCAACACCTGAACCAACCTGTGAAGCCAGATTTCATCAACCGGCTCCGACTGACACACATCTGCGCAACACAGTCTACCACACACACACACACACACACACACACACACTCATACTCACTCATACTCACACACACGCATACTCACACACACACTCATACTCACACGCACACTCACACTCATACTCACACGCACTCTCACACGCACACTCATACTCACTCACACACACACTCATACTCACTCACACACACACTCATACTCACGCACACACATGTCTGGTCAGCTATCCTCGTGGGGACTCTCCATAGGCGTGATGGTTTTTCTACTGTACAGACTGTATATTCTATTGCCCTACACCAACCCTAGCCCTAAACCTACCCCTCACAGGAAACTTTGTGCATTTTTAGATTTTCAAAAAACTTAATTCTGTGTGATTTATTAGCTTGTTTACCCGCGGGGACCTCAATTTAGGTCCCCACCGTGACACGAGTCCCCATGAGTCTGTGTGTATTCAGGTTTAAGTCCCCACCAGAATAGAAAAACAGGTACACACACACACACACACACATAGTGCATTCAGGTATCCTGTTATTTTCAAATACCGGCAATGGCTAAATTAGATTTTGTGTGGAAAAATTGGCAGTATTTTATGTTTATGTTGTTTGTTTGTTTTAAATGTAGCATGAATAGGGCTTGAATCACTTAAAATAAGAATGTAATAATTTTCTAAATGAAGAATATTGTGTAATGTAAATATTAAAGAAGTGTTCATCTCAGTCCTATTAAAATTCTGCAGTGTATTGAACCTCGCAAACAGAAGAACATGCCCATCTTTCTCTCCCTGTCTTGATCTATCAGGACCAGCCCAGCTCTGATTCCAAGGACATTGTACCAGTGTCTGAGATGTCTGAATCTCCACTGCGCAATCTCAGCGGAAAGTCTAAGAAACCCAAAGGCCTGGAGTTGATGCCCACGCTGGTGGTGACCAGCTCTGACCTCAGCCCTCTCAATCTGTGCAGCCCATCCCTCCCTACGGCCTCTCTCACCCCAGCCTTACTGCAGGTCAGTGTCCTCCTGACCTCCCCGTCACGCATGGACAATGCTGGGTTTTTTTTTTGTTTGTTTTTTTTGTTTTTTTGCTGTCATTGATTTGTCCAGAACAGCAAATTTCATGTCGGGTCACATTATCTATCCGTCTCACTAGAGGTAAATCCTCTTGTGTAGTTATTTACTGTTGCTGCCTCACGTCTTATAAAAAATATGTTGGTTGTAATTGGTCATTTTCTTTTAAACAACACACCCTCAGAAGGTGATGATTTTTTTTTTTTTTTTACAACAGCTTGCCTACATTTGCAAGCATATTACGCATTTTAAACAGGTTCACAAGCTATTCTGATATAAATTTGCAAATATCACAAAAAAGCAACTGTTGTTGGTCATTTAGTTCTATACACACTACCAGTCAAAAGTTTTTGAACCGTAAGATTTTTAATGTTTTTTTAAAGATTTCTCTTCTGCTCACCAAGCCTGCATTTATTTGATCCAAAATACAGCAAAATCAGTACAGTTTTGAAATATTTATTATAAACTATTTTCTATTTGAATATATTTTAAAATGTAATATATTCCTGTGATTTCAAAGCTGAATTTTCTGCATCATTACTCCAGTTTTCAGTGTCACATGATCCTTCAGAAACCATTCTAACATTATGATTTGCTGCTTAAAAAACACACACACACACACACACATAGTGCATTCAGGTATCCTGTTATTTTCAAATACCGGCAATGGCTAAATTAGATTTTGTGTGGAAAAATTGGCAGTATTTTATGTTTATGTTGTTTGTTTGTTTTAAATGTAGCATGAATAGGGCTTGAATCACTTAAAATAAGAATGTAATAATTTTCTAAATGAAGAATATTGTGTAATGTAAATATTAAAGAAGTGTTCATCTCAGTCCTATTAAAATTCTGCAGTGTATTGAACCTCGCAAACAGAAGAACATGCCCATCTTTCTCTCCCTGTCTTGATCTATCAGGACCAGCCCAGCTCTGATTCCAAGGACATTGTACCAGTGTCTGAGATGTCTGAATCTCCACTGCGCAATCTCAGCGGAAAGTCTAAGAAACCCAAAGGCCTGGAGTTGATGCCCACGCTGGTGGTGACCAGCTCTGACCTCAGCCCTCTCAATCTGTGCAGCCCATCCCTCCCTACGGCCTCTCTCACCCCAGCCTTACTGCAGGTCAGTGTCCTCCTGACCTCCCCGTCACGCATGGACAATGCTGGGTTTTTTTTTTGTTTGTTTTTTTTGTTTTTTTGCTGTCATTGATTTGTCCAGAACAGCAAATTTCATGTCGGGTCACATTATCTATCCGTCTCACTAGAGGTAAATCCTCTTGTGTAGTTATTTACTGTTGCTGCCTCACGTCTTATAAAAAATATGTTGGTTGTAATTGGTCATTTTCTTTTAAACAACACACCCTCAGAAGGTGATGATTTTTTTTTTTTTTTTTACAACAGCTTGCCTACATTTGCAAGCATATTACGCATTTTAAACAGGTTCACAAGCTATTCTGATATAAATTTGCAAATATCACAAAAAAGCAACTGTTGTTGGTCATTTAGTTCTATACACACTACCAGTCAAAAGTTTTTGAACCGTAAGATTTTTAATGTTTTTTTAAAGATTTCTCTTCTGCTCACCAAGCCTGCATTTATTTGATCCAAAATACAGCAAAATCAGTACAGTTTTGAAATATTTATTATAAACTATTTTCTATTTGAATATATTTTAAAATGTAATATATTCCTGTGATTTCAAAGCTGAATTTTCTGCATCATTACTCCAGTTTTCAGTGTCACATGATCCTTCAGAAACCATTCTAACATTATGATTTGCTGCTTAAAAAAATATTTTATGAATAGAAAGTTCAGAAGAACAGCATTTATCTGAAATAGAAATCTTTTGTAACATTTTAAATGTCTTTATCATCACTTTTGCTAAAGTGTTAAATCCTTGCAATTAAATAAAAGTATTAACTTCTATAATTTCTAAATTCTACTGACTCCAAGCTTTTGAATTGGTATAATGTATAATGTTACAAAAGCTTTTTATTTCAGATAAATGCTGATCTTTGGATCTTTCGATTCATCAAAGAATCCTGAAAAAAATTTACTCGGCTGTTTTAAATATTGATAATAATAATAATAATATGTTTCTTGAACAGCAAATCAGCATATTATAAGGATTTCTGAAGGATCATGTGACACTGAAGAATGGAGTAATGATGCTGAAAATGTAGCTTTGATCAAAGGAATAAATTACATTTGAAAATATATTCAAATAAAAAGCATTTATTTTAAATAGTAAAAATATTTCACAATATTACTGCTTTTTCTGTGTTTTGGATCAAATAAATGCAGGCTTGGTGAGCAGAAGAGAATTCTTTAAAAAACATTTCGTTGGCCACGCCGATCATCCACTGGGTTTTCTCGGACACCATCACCTCCCAGTAGTGGACGCCCGCCGAGAAGCCCTCGGCTCCCAGCACTGACACCTCAACGTCGAAGCGGCGCGGTGAATCCTGCAGGGGCTGTGGATGCAGGTTCCCGTACGCAACGATGGTGCAGTCGTCTGATAATATGAGCCGCTGGTGAGCAGTGATGGGGTCCATGGTTAAAGCAGCAGGCACAAAATACTTTTGACTGGTAGTGTATATAGAACTAAATGACCAACAACAGTTGGTTTTTTGTGATATTTGCAACTTTTATGTCAGAATAGCTTGTGAACCTGTTTATATGCTTGCAAATGTAGGCAAGCTGTTGTAAAAATACAACAACAACAAAAAAAAAAGACCAGTGATGATAAAAATCATCACCTTCTCTGAGGGTGTGTTGTTTAAAAGAAAATTGCCAATTACAACCAACATATTTTTTTCTCAAAATGTGTGGTTATCCTGAACAGGTCTAATTGAAGTCCTTTTGGTTGCGTTCATGTAATTGGGAGACACTAGAGGGCAGTAGTGCACCACTTGAACTCCTGATGATGTGCCTGGAAGACACTCATTGGCTGTTACATGATCCTGATCATATGGTGAGGTTTAGCTGGATGCTGCTTTGATGGATCACCTCGTTAAGACCGCACAATCTTTGCATTTACGAGCACTCATACAGCCAGCCCCAGAGGATCAACCTCCTGCTGTCTCTTCAGCGAGATGAAAGATGAAATCTACTATAATTCAAATCTATTATTTATTGTTTTTGGGGAAATGCAGCACCCTTGCCCTGTGATTAATTCTTATTGCTTCTTAAAGTCTCATTAAGCCACTTTTAATTAAACATTTATATTTCAGGGTTATGCCTCTTGCAAATGCTGTGTGCCACGAGTATTTGGGAAGGCGTCTTTAATTAATACAAGCTGGAACGACAGTCATATTGTATAAAGGTCTGAAAAAGTTCACATTTGTTGCAGACACCCCTGCTGCTCACACCCAGTCCACTTCTGTCCAATATCCATTTCTGGAGCACACTCAGTCCGATGGCACCCCACAGTCCCGCCCGGAGACAGGGCGCGCATACCCTCTTTCAGGTGAGCCCCTTGAAATTGTTTACTAAGTTAAAGGCTGTTTTCACACTTGGTCCAAACCTAAATTTGATTCCAGCCTCCTCAAGACTACAGTCACATTTTATCATCTGAGAGTACAACAGATATTCCTTTTCACCCAGAAATGGCGCTGGTGCTCAAACCAGCCTGTAATTCCACTGATTTGAGCAAGACAAAAATCATAAGCAACACGATACGGAGCTTTTAGTGAAAACAGCTTTGTTGAATAGAATGGGAGTGATCTCTTTGTTCAAGGTTTAGAAAGACTTGAGTTGTTTAGGATTCCCACGGTCCTGGAAATATCAGGGAATTTCAAAAGTGTGCTTTCCTTGAAAAATTAAGTGAAGTATTTAATTTTATAATATTATTTATATTTACACTTGTATTACAATATTTGTTATAATGTGTTCCTTTGCAGTTGCTATTAAAATTATTTTAAATTATTTGGTATAGTTATGGGCTATTCATTATTGGATATTAATTTATGATTCAATTTACAATTTAATAATTTAACAGCTTGCTCATCAACTCAAACCATCCGCACCCAAAAATTTCGGTGTGAAAGTCTAAAAACTAGTGTTATTTTAGAAATATTTATATGCTATTATAGTACTTATTAACATTTCAAATTAGCTTTATTTTTTTCAGTTTTTATTGTCACTAAGCTTTTAAATTAATTTTAATTATTTAAAAAAAAAAAAATGTTAGTACTTAAACTTTCAGTTTACAGGCATTATTAACTTAGTTTTCATTTAAGTTTTCGAGTTGAATTTTTTTAATCTAATATTTATAGTGGTCACGCTTTATTTTAAGGTCCAAGTCTCGCTATTAACAAACCATTAACTACAACTTTTGCCTCAAACTCCTAATTTGCTGATTATTAATAGTTAGTAAGGTAGTTTATAAGTTTAGGTATTGGGTAGGATTAGAGATGTAGAATATGTGACCCTAGAACACAAGACCAGTCTTAAGTCGCTGGGGTATATTTGTAGCAATAGCCAAAAATACATTGTATGGGCCAAAATTATCGATTTTTCTTCTTTCAGTTAATGAAAACAACACTGGTAAAACCACTTTTAGACGCATTGAGATGTTTACAATAAAATCACAATATTCCAAAAAGGATTCTTTCAGGTTTTTTTTCATTCTGTTTCTTTTCCTTTTATCAGTTTCCTTCTGTACTGAGTTCCGCGCAGTTCTCTGTTCCCGTGTATAACTTAGACGGCACCAACACGCCCGGCCCTCTCTCACCCGACCCACAGAAGACATAAGAGGGGGACAAAGACCGGCACACTTCATCTTTGCCTCATGTTCTTGATTGATAAACGCAGATTAACCTCATTCTGTTCACCTGATCTGGCACACTTCAGGTAACAAAGATTTATGACCGCCATTTAAGCATTTAAGGTCATCCGTTTGACTGGAACCTTTGTGATGTCACTGATACTTTTCCTTCGGATGTATATCAAGCCATCAGATACATCAGTAAATCTTTCGTTTCTATTTTTTAATGCGCTGGTCTTCAGGGATCGGCTCTCGTGTGACTAAAGCAGATGGCTGTCGATCTGCACAGCTGCCAAAATGGGATTTTATCATAAAACGTACATTGTTTGATCATTAGATTAAGATCCGAATTGAATTTCCTTGTCTTTTGTTTCTTGTGGAGCTTAAGACTTCGATCAGATGCAGAAGAGATTCTCACGTGACGTCGGCACCGTGTATTTGTACAGCAAGATCCTTGTTCTGCATTGGATAAAGAGGGATCGTTTTGTACATAATCCAACGAGTTCACCTCGTCTCAACTCGTGTTTGCCTTTTGTTTGGGAAGTCCTCAAACAAACCTGCCTTGCCAAGCTAAACCGCCCCTTTGCCTTGTGATTTTGATAATGGTGACCTCCGTTTTATCTTGTACCTTTCCTCATGCTGCACTTACAGCCATGTATTTAAAGTGTTCTGTAACCACATAAACGGCACTTAGATTAAAACAAGCTGCACTTACTAGGGCTTTTGCTCCTATTTGTGTTTACTCGCCATCCAGAACAGTAGTGAACTAGTTGTCTTATTTTACAAAATTAATATTGTACAGTTTGTGTCTACATCTTCAGTTCAGTGCATCACCCTGTAAAGCTAGCTGGTGCAACCCTCAAACATGTTCCTGACAGCATTTTATTATTCGAGAGCCACATGAACACAATCACTTTAAGCAGTGATTACAATCAGAATCAGCAGAAGTCAAGTTTATTTGGGATAGTCCACCAAGTCATTCCAAACCTGCATGTCTTTCTTTTTTTATGAGGAACACAATCTTTTGGAGAACGTCCATGCAATGGAAGTCAACAACATTGGACCCCATTGACCTTCATTCTGAGACACATGATAGAAATATCATCTTTTGTGTTCCACAGAAGAAATAAGTCATGGAGGTTTGCAACAAAATGGGTGGACTATCTCTTTAAGAATATTGAGGCTAACATTCAGGACGTTCTTGATGTGACCCTCATCACTGGAAAACACATTTTAAAGTGACATCTTGTAGCATTAACCCCATCTTTTCTGGTGCTTTGACCATGATGCACATTTTTGAGTAGGCCAGATTGGCGTCGCCCACGCTGTAATGCTTGATGGCGACTGTCTAATGAAGCGCGTTTCCAAACACGCCCCAACGCCATTGAACCATTACCGTAACACCACCAGATATGCCACTGTGGCCATGCTTATCATGCAAATCTTTTCCTATAAACCATTTCCTCCTCTCTGAAAGACTGGAAGCCATTAGGAATGATTTCAGTTGAGTGGGAAAACCCAAGGACTTGCTTTACTCCAATAGACTGCTGATTCACCATTAATCTAATGGAGCGTACACAGCATAAAATGGAATGGCTCAGTGCTTAAAGCCTCATGCCACCATTAGGATGGTTGGATTGCTGGAGATCGGTTGGATGTGTACCGTAACTGGATGGCTGTCTGTAGAGCCCAGGCCAAATGCTCAAAACCATTACTGCATTTGTCAGCCTTCCCAGTGTTGTGCAAGATTCAATCCCCCTGCAGAATGCAATCTACCTTGGACAACAATGCAAAGCTGTTTGTAATGCCCAGTCAGAAGTGTCTGTCCTTGTAGCTGGTTAGCATGGTCCAGTTAACCTCTGCTGGTAGATTAGACCATATATTTTTCTCCATTGATGGTCATTCAGAACTGCCATGTGTTTTCGAAGGCAACAAATATATTTGAGTTTGCATTATAGTAAATACATAAAAAAATGTTAAAGTTGCACTATTATTTATAAGTGTATAGTTTTTTCTTAATAAATTAATACTTTCAAGGAGGATGCAATAAATTGATCAAAAGGGTCAGTAAAGGTATTTATAATGTTTATTTCAAATAAATCTGTTCTTTTGAATGTTCTAGTTGTCAAAGAATCTTACAAATTCTTAACTCTCAATCTTAAAATCATCACTTTCCACAAAAATATGAATTAGCATAACTATTTTCAACATTGATAATAATAAGAAATACTTATTAGCATATTATATTAACATATTAGAATTTTCCTATTTTTTTAAGGATCGTGTGACACCGAAGACTGGAGTAATGATCCTGAAAATTCAGCTTTACATCACGGGAATAAAATAGATTCGAAAATATATTGAAATAGAAAAGTTATTTTAAATTGTAGTAATATTTCACAATTTGACTGTTTTTGCTTTCATTTTAGTCTAATAAATGTGAGCACTAGTGAGCATAAGAGACTTTCTTCAGAAACATAAAAAACAACTTGGAGTCCCTAAACTTTTGCACAATAGTGTGCGTCATATGTAATGTATAATTTAAAAGAATCATTACCACTAATTGTAAAGTAGTGTTTCTGATCAGGCATTGTATAGAATACCCAAAACAAGTCCAGTGGAGTTTGTATTCTGAAAGAGAATTGAATATTGCACAACTGCAGTAAAGATCGCTATCTGAACCAAATACTGCAGCCACTCTTTGCAGTCCTCATTTGATGTCAATGCAGTATCGGTGTGTTGTTTTTGTAGAGCGTTTGCCAGTTTTACATCTCCAATTATAAACCAGTATAGGAAATTAATGCCCATATGTTGCACAATATAAAATTCTACCTCTAAGAGTCTTAAGCTCAACAAGCCATGATTTATAACTGACATGCATTAGATGCAAAACTGGAACAAGGCTTAAATGCTGACATTCAAATTGCAGAAGCCGAGCTCTGTTAGTCCTTACCTGTAGGACCACTTAAAGTGCATTGATAAAAATACAAAGGGATGTGTGTTTGTGTATATATATATATATATATATATATATATGTATATATAACTGTTCAGCATCTCAAATTAAGCTCTCAGGTATTGTACGATTACCCACAGTTCACAAAGCAACAAACTGATCGCAGTAGAAGAAACTGCTCTTTCACACTCATGCTAATGTGGTGCCTTCTAGTCCTGTTGTCTGTTGCCAGTAAAATGAAAATAGGCAACAGTTTTGCTAATTGTTTCTAAAGTCTATGTTTTGTCCTTTGCCGGTGAAAACAGCTACTAACGAAAACTTCAACTATTTATAGGATTGTTCTGTGTTAAAATATGACTTTTGACAGCATTTGTGAGCACAGCAAATAATTTTGACTCAATTTCAAGAAATTATTTGCCCTAAAACCTAAATTGATTTAACGTAAATGTTATTAAATACAAGCTTAAGTTGTATTTAACCTGGAATATTCCGTTAACATATCATGAACATAGATAATAAGAGCTAGAATCTATATTCAGATCCAGTGGAAAATGGATCATATGAAATATTGATGGTTTACTCATACTTTCTTGTACTGTCGGGTTAATATTTTCAGCCTGTATGCTTAAATCAAGCATAGGGACATTTTATTCCATTTTATAGCTGCCCTTGTAGTACAAGAGTGCAAACAGCTAACATTTATGTAGTTTTGTGTTCTAATTTTTACTGTTGTTCCAAACCTGTATGATAAAAATGAGATGTTCTGCAGAATGTCCTGACCATACAAAAAAACAATTCATTTATATGTATGATTTGTCCTTAATAATTTTTTTCTGAAGCCATACAGTTGTTATGTGCAAAGAACATACTGAAATTTCAGTCTTTTTCATATAACATGATACATTAAATTTTTGGACCTCTAAATCTTCTACTTTCATTGTATGGAAAAAGAGCAGCTCGGACATTCTGCAAAATACCTTCTTTTGTGTTCCACGGAAAAAAGAAATTCATATAAGGTGGATTTTAAAATATTACTTTAGGAAAATAAGTTTGAATGTTTCATTGTACATACAGTAAGATGTGATGGGATGTCTGTAGCATTGTGCTGTTGTTTTGTAGTATTTTCACTTTGACCTGTTTTCCTGAGGTCCTGTATTGCGAAGCGTCTTCATTTGCATTCCTGCAGAATTCAGGCTGTGTTTGATTGCTCTTGCCTGTATCGTGAGCACTGCACATGCAATTGCCTTCTCATAGAGGGATATTGAGTTGCTTAATGCCTTTTACATTTTGAATGAATTTTGTTTTTAAACCTGTTTCCATTATTTTTGTTAAAAGCTCTCTTACCCACTTAGATTTTTTTTGTTGTTGTTTGGGGGGAAAATGCAGCTTAGTATATTTTTACTTCATTAAATAGTTATTTGTTTTGTTTCTATGAAAATTCTCATTTCTCACTGTAATGGATAAAATGGGTTTGTTATATGTTTAGCTGTCTTTTGTTTCTTCTGTTTGTTTGAGTTTGGTTTTCTCCCAAGAACATTTAGCCATTGTAGCCATATTGAACATCTGTTGTATTTTAATGCGAGTCTAAAGCACTTTTAAAAAGTCTCTTTTTCCCTCTCTCCTCATTTTTTTCTCTTTACTGGCACTTTGTATTTTTTAGAATCTGTTGTCAAGCTAATCTCATCTTATTAGTGGCTCCACCACCCCAAACACCAATTTTGTTTTTGAATCAACATTTGTAACATTTTGCTGCACAGAGATTTTGTAATTAATTAAGACTTTCCGGCATAAATAAAATGTATTTTATGATTGCTTCATCGATTACTATAAGAATATTTTCTCTTTAAAGAGATTCTTACTCCAAAAAGCTCTATTTTAGGAAAAAATGGCACTTTTTACGAATAGGGTATAAACTGGCGTCATTTTTTGACCAAGTTCACCCAAAAATGAAAATTCTGTCATTAATTACTCACTCTCATGGTGTTCCAAACCTGTAAAACCTTCGTTCATCTTCGGAACAATTTGAAGAAATTGTTAAATAAAGTTGTTATTTTTGTTTTCTTGTATCTTCATAACACTACGCTTGAACCACTGATGTCACTTGGACTATTTTAATGTTGTCCTTACTACCTTTCTGGGCCTTGAACGTCTCAGTTGTGTTGCTGTCTATGGAGGGGCAGAAAGCTCTCGGATTTCATCAAAAATATCTTAATTTGTGTTCAGAAGATGAACGAAGGTCTTATGGTTTTGGAACGACATGAGGGTGAGTAATTAATGACACAATTTTCATTTTTAGGTGAACTATTCCTTTAAAGAAAACTATTACGAATGTTCAAATATTATATAATATGAAAAGTAATTGATATTCAATTAATCTATATTAGATATTTTACCTACATACTATTTAGCTATTCCACATTTGCCTGCAACCTGATTGTCACATCCCCAACACGTCATTCCATATACATATGTATATATCAATTTCTTTTTATAATTTATGTTAAGTATGTTTTCCATTGAATACAAACCAACACTTGGCAAACTATCCCCTGCTGAGTGAAAAATAATTATTTGCAACCGTTACCCATTATGGTATATTTTATTTGAATTTTATCGCAAGCGCTCCACAACAAAAATGACAAATCAAGATTTTAACCCATATTCAGACATTTCTCGAATTCTGATGGGAAGTTTTTGGAAACTCCATATAGAATAGACAATTTACTATCTTTCTTATGTATCATAACTTCAGTAATAATATCTTTGATATTTTAAACATGCTCCTAAGGTTAATAGGTTAATATTTTGTACCCTATTCTTGGAAAGTGCCAATGTTTCAGACACATCAGATTTTCTCATCCTCTAAATGTCGACATCATAACTGCATTGCATTTAGAACAATATTTTGTTTCTCATGAGAAAATTTGTATTTTGTGGAAAAAAAGGGATGATGTAATATTAAAAAGTGTGATCAATTCTACTGTCATAGTACAATATTGGCACCAAATGTTTTCAATATTTTTGTGCAAATGTATTTTCAGATTGTCTCTCTCTCAAATGTTTACAAATTCTATGTTCATTGGCATACCTGTTGTACTAATCTGTGGATGCTGGAAGGGAAGGAAGATTTCTATAAAAAAACAAATGTGTAACTCATTTGGCTTGTGTGTCTTCATCAAATACAGCTGCAGAAGGCTGACCTCATTTATACAGCGATTGTGTTAACGTTAGCAGGTCCGACACCTGCGTAAACCAGAAAAAACTAATAAAATTTTACCCAGGCCAAGAGAAATACGCTGATACAGCAACCTCCTACGATCAGGATCGCCCACCTGAGTGCCGAGGTCACTGGTTTAGAGGAACCGTCAGACCTGAGGCCGTACAACACAATACAAGGAAACTTTTCCAGGAAGACGGTAGGATGTTCTTTTTTTGACCTTTTAAACTCCTAACCACAATTGTGTTATAGGCACTTCGGCTTTGGCTGATCTGTGATCTTTTTCTGATCTGTGAATAAGACTGATCGTCAGTAGGGTTTGAGTGAGCCCAGTCCAATTCAGAATTGCTTTCAAAGAAAACATTGTAGGGCTTTTACATATTCAAAAAATACTGTATGTCATTATTTTGATCCAATGAAACCACTGATATTCAAGTGCTGATTGGTCAGAGTGTTTCTAACAATAAACACTAAATCAACTTTTCTCTAGATAAGTTATTGTATTGCACATATCCAGTGACATTGCTGCATTGCTGACAATGATTAAATTGTGACATTTGTGCACAAGATCATTTCATTCATCAAAAATATTTTAATACAAAAATAAACCTTTAAATCATTTGCATTTTTCTTAGCTCTGTCGATGCATGATCATCCAAGGATATGTTTGGTCCTCGATGTCCCTGAGTCAACGACACCATTGTCCCTTTGCTCCTGTCATATTTTCCATCCATTGTTACGGATCGATGGATGCTTTCTGCTCTGGCGTGTCCCATGAGTTCAGCACGGCAGCAGAACAGGTC